ATCTCTAAGGTCTTTTCCAACCTAGAAATCTATGAAATCTATGAATCTATGCTTCATAAGAGTATTATAATAATCCTTCAGATTATTATCTGGTGTTCCGATACCATTATGGTAACAGTTACACAGAACACTTCTCAATAAAACAACATCCATTTGCACAGACTTTTTTTGGGGGAAAGCTAACACTACCAAAAAAGCCCCAAACCAACCCCACCAAAAAAAACCCCAAAACAACCCACCCCCAAAAAAACAAACCCCAAAATCAAGTCAGGATTCAAAAAAATCACACCACTCCCTATGCCACTCTGACATCAGCAATTAAGCTACTATATATATATATATGTATAATATATATAAGACTACATCCATGCAGGTCTATATTTTAATATGACTACATTAATGTAAGACTCAATATAAACAACACTATTAAACAACATGGAGTAGTCTTTTATCCATGCAAACGCTTTACATAATTTTGAAGCATTCTACCTCATTTATATAATCCTGGTATTTGGATACCTCTTCTTCAATATCAAAACACTGGTTGGTGAGAGCCAGTAACTGCTTCCTTATGTGAAGCATTTTCCTAAAAGAAAATAAGTTTTCTTTTAAGAGCTTCCTTTTATAAAAATGGGGCAGTGAACATTACCAAATATTAAAGAAATCATTAGCTTGCCTTGTCCAGTCCTCAGCCTTGTCCAAAAAAGTATCGTACTTGCTAACACATTCATCTTTGAACAGCGCTATGGCTTTTGTAGCATGCAAATACAGCTTCTGCCTGCAACACAGAAACAACCGCAACAGTCTTATACTGTTTTCAAAACCCTCTTCCTCTAATTTACTTTCTGAGATTTGGAGAAAAGGTATGTGGACTTAAAATCCCGTCAGCCAGCTTTATTCATGCTGTTGTAATGGATGAGAAATCAACACACTGCATGAACTGACAGCTTATGTTTCAAAAATATTCCCTAGCAGGGAGAAAAAAAAAAAGTACTTGAAATATTTAGTCACAATTATTTGTATACAAACAAACTGTCAAATGTCGTCTCCGAGTTGGTATTTATCTGAGCAGGTATATTTAAGGAAAAGGGATTCTAAATGGAAAGGACAGAAACCGTTATTGTTTCTTATTTGCTTTCTGCAGACATTTGGAACTTCCAGTATATATGAATAATCCTTGTAGCTAATATACATGCAAGAAAAAAAAAACACCTGGATTTTTGTGACAGCTTAAATTTATGACAAGAGAAAAGCAAGCAGATAAGGACAGGAAAGCAAACCAAAATGCAATTCTGGTTAGTGTTGCAGACAGTAATCCCAGTGTAACTGCCTTACCATGCTATGCATTTCATCAGTAAGAGAAACTAAGATACTGGGATACTACAGTAACACCTGCTTCTGTATTTCATTAAGTCTTGTGTGATAGCTATTGGTTAATCAAATTCTGGCTGGAGCGTAGCTGGATTGTCATCAGGCATGCATACCTATCATTCAACCAGAAAAAATTGGAATTGAGTGCTGCTCCCTTGTCTATCTAGCCGTAAATACTACAAAGGCCAGTCTCTGTTGCTAACGGCATAAAGTTCTTAATACAAATCACTGCCATTTCTCTCTAGGGTGAATCAAGTAAAATAAGATGTAGTTAGGATCTCAAAGATACCAGAATAATCCCAGGAGAGACTCGTGGTAGAAAAATATACCAGTATTCAAAACTATGAACATGAAGCCTATTTATTTAAAGTTACTCACATATTAATACAAGAACACAGTTTGCGTAGCAGAAAAAGCCCTAAAATTTCTTTAGTCTGTCCAAGGCAGTGCAGTTTTAAAATGAGGTATGAATTGCATCCCAATGTTTGCCTGTTTTCCAACCATATCCTTAAGAACACATGACTGGAAATTATCACTCACATTGTATCTTATACATTAAGTTCAGTCTCTCGCTGTCACAGAGCAATGACGTGCCCAAGTCACCTTCAGTGTATCAAGATCTGCTTTACAGGTTTCCTGCCACTACTGTCCTTTCTCTTAAGGCACACCCCCTCAGCAGTTACCCTATTTAGCTTTTGCTATGGGAAAATCAAGGGGCATGGTTGTGAGAATACCAGTACTCGTGTTAGCCTCCTATCCGTAATTGTCAGTGAAGACACACTAGTGGTAGCAACAGCCAAGAATTTTTAGAAAATTATGGAAGCAGTCTCTAAATTGACAATGGCACTCAGCAAAGTCTAGGAAATCAACTCAACTGACCAGTCACTAGGCGAATCTTATAGCAGCTTTCCAGTACCTAAAGGGGGCCTACAGGAAAGCTGGAGAGGGACTTTTTACAAGAGTGTGTAGTGATAGTACATGGGGCAATGGATTTAAACTGAAAGAGGGCAGATTTAGGTAAGATATAAGAAAGAAATTCTTTACATTGAGGGTGGTGAGGTACTGGAACAGGTTGCCCAGAGAAGTTGTGGATGCCCCATCCCTGGAGGTGTTCAAGGCCAGGCTGGATGAGGCTTTGGGCAACCTGGTGTAGTGGAGGATTTCTCTGCCCATGGCAGGGGGGTTGGAACTAGATGATCTTTGAGGTCCCTTCCAACCCTAACCATTCTATGATTCTATGAATAACTTAATTACTTAAACACAAGTGTCTAGCATCATTTGAGATGCCCTGCTTCCGACTCTCCATCCAGAAAGGTGTGTTTCCCATTTGTCTTGTGTCCTACCTCTCGGCACATCTCAGATACCTTAAGGAAATTTAAATAGTATCAGACATCTGCGCATAGGGAACTGAAGTGATCCTGAGACAAGTATGGCAGCATGAGCAGAGCAGCTGTTTACAGTTGCTCAAGAATTAGGTCAGTAGAGTCAGTGGAGCCTAATGGGAGTCTAGACACCCAGGTTACACACAGACAACTCAATGTGGCCACCTCTCTTAAGGGACAATTTTAAACAGGCACAGAGAACTGCATTAAAATTTATTTTGCATGCTGTATTTCCTGGAAGATTAAATCATTCTAGAATTTCATTCAGCTAGCCCATATTTTAATCATCTGTAGAAGATGATTTCTGCCTTAGTTACAAAGTCACTTTACTCTTACTGAGGGCTTTTTCCTCCCTAAAAAAATGGGGAAAAAAATAATACTTCTTGTAAGACAGTTATGCCCAGATAATGAAGTATTTCACATCTACATTTAGAAGGTCTATTAGTGAAGAAACTCCACTGCCACAAAGCACCTCATTATCACAAGCTGGCACCCCTATGTGTTTAAGATATTTAAAGGATTTTTTTACAAAGCAATCCTAAAGAGGTTGTAATTTACAATAAAAATCAACAGAAGAGGTTATTGGCAAGAGCACCTGAAGGACCTGAAAGCAATCACGGTATTTCCCAAAGGTAACTTCAAAACTTACTTGTCAAACTTGTGAATTTGTTCTTCATTATAAGGAAGCCCTAGGATCAGAGCAGATGACAGGTATTACCAGTTTAATTCTGTTAGCTTTGTTTATGTAAAAGTCCACTAAGTTTACCCATTTCTTATATGGTTTCCTTATCCTATTCTGATAGGTAAGAATGGTCATTTACTTTTTTTCTTCTCCTCTCCAGTCTTGCAATTCACATTTATGAGATGAATAGTGGTGTTTCATGCATATGGGCTTTAAGATGGTTTCTCGCTAAGACAGACCTACAGACATATTCGGTGTTGCTGACCAACTCTCCATTCCTACAACAAATATCCTAGTGGAACAAGGACTGATCTGTCCTTTACATTACAGTTCACGTTAAAAGTGAATCAAACAAGTTACTTACTTCGTTCTGCTCTGTCTTTTTTGAACTGGTAATAAATATCTGTGATGGAACATAGCAGCACCTGCAGCCTTTCCGGACTAGAGTGACAAAAGGAAGAAAATGAGATGTATTATATATAAACTGAAGTACCTATTAAGGAGTTTACTACAACTCATTATAGAATTCAATACACATTAAAACAATTAATAGAGTTACTCACTTTCTGTCTTTTGGATGCATGCCTTCCTGATTTGCCCAGGTGTCAGCCAATAAACCACCAGGAGAAAGTTTGGTTTTGATATCTTGAAGACTAGTTTCTATTGTGCCCTGAGAGCTGGAGAGCTATATAAGAGCAAGAAAGTTCAATCTTACAGCTGGGTAAACTGAAAAATTACTTGAGGCTGAAAACAGACTGAGCGCATTAATGCTATAGACCTGTTTGTTTCACTGATCTTCATTAAAGAAATATGCCCAATTATCTGCCTAGGCTTTGCTAAAAGCAGATAAAACATGGTATTATTAAAGAAAGAATCATCTTTGATGCTGACGTTTCTGTTAGTTAATATTTATTTTATTTCCGCAATAAGCTTCTACCTTTTATATATTCCCTATTTACTTCTACACTTGCTCTTTTGGTTTGTTAAGAATTTGTACAACGACTATCCACATAATTAATACCTTTCATTCTCCACAGTTCATAGCACCTTCAAAATAAAAATCCACTAATCATTTTTTGCTTTTAGAATGGAGAACTTTATACCTGCTCCCAGGACGCCAGTGTGTAAAGTTATTTTCAATTTTTCCTTACTTGTCTGGAAACATGATGCAAATTTCAAAGCAGATCACTCTGAAGTGTGTTTGTGTATGTATCGTTTTAGAAAGCCAACAAAGTAGTTCAAAATTCTTTAAGGAAAGGAAAAAAAACCTTCCAAGTATTTCGTGGTTATAATTTTTTGCTTGAGTATTTTAGAAAGTGAGAATGTATTTTCAGGAACAACTACTTATTTTCACTACACTGGGCTAATAAAAGGATTTACTCTGTTTTCAGGAAGATAGCCACATCTCAGTATGGGCATTTTAACAACCTTTGACAGTCTAGAAATGACTTTGAAAGTTCAGAGTTTTATTCACAGAAAAACATGCATTATCATGTGTTTGGCCTTTTCTTTAGAAACACCATTTTGAGAATAACATAGGCTTCATAAGATACTTACACGTAACAGTTTTGTGTGTATCTCTGAAATTTCATCCACTTCTGATGCTTCCAAGTTGATCTGCATCAAATTCTCATATCTGACCACAAAAAAAAAACATAGTTAAAAAAGAAAATAAACAAGCAGTGAATACACTCAAGATATTCTTTAAGTCTAGAGCATAACAATAACTACCTTTTCTTTTATATGAAATACTGTATTTGTCAAGCAGCAACCATGAAACACTGACAACCTTAAGTGGTCATTAACAATGGAAACGTTTTAGTTAAAAATTCCTTGAATTTTTTCCTACATGTGAATTGTTAAAAAGAAGTTCAAAACTTCCATTCCTGACTTATTTATTCTATTCTCATAATTTGTACTCAACAGGCAGTGGAAAACTATTTCCTCTCATCAAATCATTTTTAAAAGGTTATAAAACTAAAGTTACTTAAAGTAGTCAATGACACACAACAAACTAATGCTCCAGTGCACCAGGATGCTTTTCTGTGGAAACTTATTGGAAAGGCTGCATTACCAAAACCTTGGATTGGTTGATTTACCAAAACCTTAAAGGCTGGGTTAGTAGCACCATCTGTTCATATTGACACTGACCATAGCTCAAATGCCAAATAAAATCTTTTGGGACAATATTTTTCCTGTTGAGTCTCAGGTACATTTTATTTTTAAAAATATAAAAAACAGCTCAGCTGCTTTCCAAAAATACATGCTTTGTTCAAGTTCAATACTTTGTTTGCCTTTTCAAATAAAAACTTTGCATTGTCATGCTTTGAAGCATAGCCTTGAAAAGGGAGGGCAAACAAGAGGACATGTCCTTTGCTAACTCCATAAAAGCCCTCTGAAGTCAAATAAACTGAAAATCCTGCACCTTCGTAAAAGGCTGAAAGACCATGTGCAAACACACAGCAAACTTCTGTTCATGTGAGAACTACTCCAGTTCACAAGTGAACATAACTTTTTCAAATTGCTGCTCTGAGATACTGCTGAATGCACTAGAGTCACCAATCAGAACCTACAGTGGGTTCTCCTGAGCTGTAAGTGGCTTTTCCTGAGCTGTAAGTGGCTTTTTTCTGTGGGGACCCAGCAGAATGCAGGAAGAAGCTAAGTGAACCAAATACAGAGTGAACAAGAACCAGTCATGCAACTAGTGTAAACTGGCTTGAAGAAGAGTTTGGATTACAGCCCTGATGATTTGTATCTAGGCTACACAGGTTTCACTGTTGGGTTGGTTTTTGTTTTTGTTTTTTTTTTAAGCCAGTATCTTAAAGTCCAGATACGTCAATTTGTACATGTTTGGCATGCACACAGCAATTCTCTCAAATCCTCAGGTATCCATAATTACTACACACACGCTGTTCAATTTGTACACACATGGTGGCTCCAACATGGCTTAAGTCTATTCTTAAGTCTACTCTGCAAACCCAATGGCTCTACACACGTGCAGTAATCATCTTGTGGGCATCTGCATTTCAGAGTAGCCTGGAAGCAAGTTTAGAGGATCCTGTGACCAAGACAGGCAGAAGAGTCTGACCACTGGAAAACCTTTGCTTCCTTGGAATGGAAGACAAGAGAAATAAGTGTCTTCCCTGGTCTTTGAAACTTGGAAGTCTCCTGCGCTAAAAGATAACCAGTCTTTAGTTGCTCCTTATTCTTTAAAACTGACAAGATTTATAAAGTGCTCTAAAAAACTGTCTAATATACAGATCCAAATAGGTCCATATGGGCAACAGTGAGATAGTGTGATGCAGACCTCTGCCATTTGCCTTAAACAAATAAACAAAAATAACATAATAGTCAGGCACTTGAAAAAATGACAGAAGCAGAATTTCCTGTGCAGTTTACTTTTGGCACCCCCATGTGCACACACTGTGATCTAGTGATACCCTAATGCAGCTTTGTTCTTTGGTTAGTTTGCTTTTTTTGTTGTTTGGGGTTTGTTTTGCAGCTGCTCTATGTTATATTTCAACATTAGAATTCCTTCCATGCAGAAAACACTATGGTCTTAAAGCTGTGAAAGGGGCAGTGTTTAAAGTCATCCTTAATAAAAACACACAAGCAAACTCAGTGACAAAAGCACTAAAGCACTAATGAAAGGGCAGCCACTCGATTCTTTGTCCAGGCTTTACCACAGCTTCTAGAGTCAACAATAGCAAATGAGCTGAGTCAGAGAAGAAAGGAGAAAAAGAACACATATAATTACTATTCAATAGTAATTACTTGTTCCTACTAGGTTAACGAGCAAAATTAACACTAATCTGCTTACGTTATGTCACTGCCATCAGCAAATCCATGCTGATTCAAATTTAATTTTTATATGCAAAAGCCCTGTAAATAAACATAACTTAGAATACCACTGTCATTAAAGATGATAATGAAAAAACAATGCTTTCAGTGTAGTGCTTCTACTCACATTTTCTCAGCTTTCTCAATGTTTCTGCTGCAGAAATCCAGCCTGATGACAACCTCTGTCTTTTTATGAACCATTTCATTGTAATCATCCTTGATTATTTCACTAAAAAAGTGAAGCATTAGTCTATAACAAAAGTATTCAACTGCTATTCCACCAGCAATCAGTAATACAATAATATACCCACAGTAATAACTGCTAGTAAGAATTGCAGTTAGAGATGCATTAGTATAACTCTCTATCTTGTGCAAGCTGCTTAATTGTACCTGCATGTTACCAGAGGTTAGAAAAAAATGAATGGCAAATACCTAAACCTATTACCAGAAAAAATGATTTTTGTTTCCTTAATGACAGAAAGCAGGAAAAAATTCATAAGGCCTATTCATATTCAAGCAGTAAAGGAAACCTCCCAAGGTACTGGAAGATCACAGAATTATGTATTAATAATTAAGACGTATCTCAATTAATAATAAAAAAAAGCACAATGAAATTCAATCAATTGCTTACATTAGCCATCGTATTCCTTTTCGCATCAGCTCCTGGTAAAGTAGCAAAGAATTGGCGACTCTACAGGCATAACATACAATACCGGTTACTGCCTGGTGGAAAAAACAAACAACATTAGCACTAATCTGGCATTCTCTCAACAGTTGTTTTGAGTCAATTAATCAGAACGAAGGAAGAGAGATTAATAAAAGAAAGAGCAACAGAAAGATATTAGTTTAAAATGCATAACTTTGCCCAAACTTTAATCAGAAGATAACCAAACACTCATTATGGAGGCAGAGCTAAACATGGTAGTGAACTTTTCCAGTTATGTTGAAATACCTGTTAAGGATGAAAATAAGGCTCTTATAAACAAAAATGACACCATTCACTCCCAAGATTTACTTTGATTTCTGGAAAGTCACAAGTACATTTCTTCAGTAGTTTAGGAATTAAACACTTTCATTAAAAGAAGCTTCACCTAATTCCACTTACAAGTTTGCTGCATTATTTAGAATTATGAACAAAGTTTCAGGAATGATAATATACACTATGTAAAATAATTAATATAAACTGATGACTTTCTGTTTATTAATTTTAATGACTTCTGGTATTCAAAGAGACATATGCTTTCAGGACTACCACGTCTGAATAGAAGGCTCGCCAGCAGCCAGTATTTTATAGGCATAGTATAGACGGTGGTCATAAAGTCAAAGCGTGGCAATGCACACGGTCAGTAGTTTTAGGAAAATGACCAAAAGAATGAAACATCCTCTACTTGTTTCCCACAGATTCTGAAAACTTGCAAGAAAGGCAACAGAAATTCCACTCTCTTGCAGAGTCCTAGAGACTCCTCTCTATTGAGAGAAAGATCAAAGTTAGTTTTCTTATGTTAAGAAAGAAGGCTGTTTTTTTTTGTTTTTAAAAATATATTAAATAAACAGCAAAGATAAACAATATACAAATATAAACAAACACAAACTTAACGAATACAAATATTTGGTTTTTAAAAATATGCAAACATATTTGGTATAGAAATTATGGCTTTAATATACTTTTGGAGCCCTTGTTAACAAATATGTTTCTGTCAATCAGAATCCTTGCTAGCATATTAAAAATAGTTTTATTAACATAATTCATCTGAAAATCAAGTAGTTTTCATTTCAGTATCATTATCTCAGATAGGTATATAAATTAAAATCAAAATTACTCACTTTAGCCATAATGGCATCCCCGTCCAAATCATAACGTTGATGTACTTTAGGAAGTAAAACTGAAACAGAAAACATACATCTGTGTTTTCTTATTTTCCATAAGACACTTCAAAAGTTTTAGTACAATAACAGATACACTAGTGTATGTTCTAGAAATTGTTATTACTAAAACTCAACACCACAAATGAGTCAGAAGTCAGGAATGTAAAAAGTATCCCACTTTGTTCCACTACTTAGAACACCTCTATACAGAACAGCGTTACTGGATATCACCCAGCTCAGTATCTACTCCCACAGTTGCCAACAGCAGAAGCCTGGGGAAGTACACAAGAACAGGGCAAAAATCTAATTCCCTCTCAGATTCTCCCAGCTTCCAACAATATGTGGTTCAAGAACTTCCAGAGATACGGTGAAACTTGTGTTTAATAAAAGCCTTGATAGGTTGTTTTTTTTTTTCTGTTAATTTAGTGGAAGCTTTCTGAAATACCTTCAGCATTCACATCCTCCAGGAAAAGTCTGCAGCCTAAGTATGCTTTGTGTGATGGAAGTATCTCATATGCAGGTTCAAAACAGCCAACATGACAACTGAATTTGGTATTTCATGGTTCTTCTAGTAGATGAGAAAGTAAACAATCCTTATGCAGCTTCTGCCTGGTGCTCAGATGCCTATGAAAATTGCACAGCCTTCCTCCTCTTCTGCTCCCCATCACCTCTTTGTCAGCTGAAAATTTCTAGTCTATTCCATCAGTCCTTTCACCATCCTTGTTGATTTTCTCAGAACATGTTTTAGAGCTTCTATATCCAATTGGAAAG